TTCTGGATTGTTCTCTTTTGCTGATTTTTCTGGTTTTCTTGTTTCATTTACTCAACAATGTTCATATTTAACAGTTAAAATAAGATAAAGTAACAACTGTATAATTTATTTTCGGAGTTGATTGAATTCGAGAGGAGATTGAAATTTCCAGGAAATATCCTTTCTTCGTTTGAATAATACATCGGAGACGACTTGAGAGAGAATCGGAAAAAGCATAGAATCGATCTCCAAATCCCAGATTGATTCGCGACGAACTCGCCACACTGTTTGTTGTTCTGTTCATCGGATTAAAGATGAACGGAGGTCCTTCCGGTTTCAGTACGTAACCTAAACGATCCATTCCTCAGTTGCTCGTTCAGATTCTGGGGATTTTCCTTCGTTTTTCATCATGGGTTTTTCGATTAATGTCGAAATTATTCGAATTTGCAGATAATGCTCCGGTCACGAAAGCCTTCGTCATCGCGACTGGTCTTTTCACTGTGTTCTTCGGGATACGAGGAGGTTCTTCCAAGCTCGGTTTGTCTTACCAGGTAATTTCTCATTTTGAATGTCCTGTATCTGTGACCTCTTTACTCTGGTTCGATTTTATGCTCTTTAGGGATTGGATTATGGCTCAGATTTGTTCTAAAGCTTTAGGCTTTTGCTACCATTCGTTGTGCTCTGCATTATGCTTAGGCTTCCACTGTAGTTTGCAAGGTTTTTCTTTAGTAGGAGGAAGCAACTAAACCAATAAAGCTTCATTCTTTGCATCATAATGCTATTCATTGATGGAGTTTTTACTTGGATTAGTCATCATCAGAGTAGTATGATGCTGAATAATAAATGGATTGCTTAAGGAGATTTAGGCTCCAAATGTTACATAGTTCAATAACTTGCGTCCACTCATCTCATTGTGTATGTCACCTGGAAATATATTTGATTGTTTCGAAGATCCTTGTTTCTGTGTTTTTGTTGAAGAACTGAAAAAAAAAATCAGATTTGTTTCATTTGAGAAGGGATGGTAGTTGCTACGAAGCATCTGATATCTCAAATGCACTCAATTGTACTGTTATAAAAGTCTGCCAATCTCATTGCAGGATATTTTTGAGAAGTTGCGGATATGGAAGTTAATCAAATCGACTTTTGCTTTCTCGTCCACGCCAGAATTGTTTTTTGGCTTGTACTTGATGTACTATTTCCGAGTCTTTGAGAGACAGATTGGTTCAAATAAGCATTCGGTAAGGGATAGTTCAGCTAAATTCTATCTTCATGATCTTTGTCCCTGATAAACATAACGGCTTATAATTCTTTCAAGATTGAAATCCTATTTTTATGCATACAAGAGGTTACTTAGTACTCATTCTGCAGGTTTTCATCTTGTTCTCTGGGTTTGTATCACTGATACTACAGGCCATCTTGCTGTCGCTGTTTAAAGGTATGCATCTTCCAATTTTCAGATAGTCTCTTCAAAGTCGTTTTGGTCAGTACTTGTACTTAAGGGATTATAGTTATTAAGTAAGCTTAAAGTAGCCTTGTTACAGGTCTCACCAATCATCAAAGTGTGTAGGGAAGATTAAGATCGGTGATGATCTTTTGTTGGTTTCAAATTCTGTTCTGCTTTTTTTTTCTCCACTCTCATATTGCTGAAGATATTTTACAAAGACTGCCACTGGTCCATGATTTAAGTTATCAAGAGCTGTTTTTTGGTTTTCTTAATAAGCGCTTGTGATATGACTTTTATACATTCTGTAACACAAACATTTTACATTTATAAACTGTGGGCACATAAATATCTGCTGTTTATTTTTGTAGATCCAACAGCAAACCTACTGACATCTGGACCGTACGCCCTCATATTTGCGTCGTTTGTACCCTTCTACTTGGACATTCCAGTTTCAAAGAGGTTTCATGTACTTGGTGTCCACTTCTCTGATAAATCATTCATCTATCTTGCAGGTGTCCAGGTAAACGATACCATATGTTTAGTTCTATGACTTTTTTTGTTATACAGTAGAGCCCTTTTTCTTAGAAAGATAAAATGTCTCGGTTTCCATTATTGTAGCTATTACTATCATCTTGGAGAAGATCCTTCTTTCCTGGAATTTGCGGTATAATTGCTGGTTCCTTGTATCGGTTGAACATCTTTGGTGTCCGCAAGGCTAAGGTTATACATTTCTCAACCTTATGCTTAAGAAACAGAGATCATTTCTCTCCTCAAAATGTGGGGTTTTGTCACTTTAGTAACACTAGTTTTTGTCTAAAATACATTACAGTTACCCGAGTTCATGGCTTCGTTGTTTTCCCGGATTTCTTTACCATCCTTGAGCAGCCAAGCACCAAGGAGGGCATCACCCAACTTAGGTCGCCAAGCAGTGGCAAGTCTTCATCTTTTTCCTTTTCTCTGCAAATTTTTTTTGTAATAACACATCTTCTGTTGTTGACATGTTATGTTTGAGTTTTTCAGAGATCTTATCGAGCTCCAATGCCGTCATTAAGTACAGAGCCATCTGAGGAAGCCATAGCTACTTTGGTATCCATGGGATTTGACCAGAACGCAGCGAGACAGGCACTTGTCCACGCCAGAAATGATGTCAACGCGGCGACCAACATCCTTCTTGAAGCACATTCTCACTAGACCTTTAATAGGAAGTTTCATAGACATTGTTGATTCAAGATGCAGACAATGCATCAACAAGAGAGGTATTCTTCTGCTGCGTTCTAACAACGGAAATGGCTTTACCTTAACGTTTATGTCCAGCGAATGATCTGATTTGCATCCTCTCTTTTTCTCTCGTAGGTTTTTTTTTTAACCTCTTCTCTTTGCCGTTGTAGTTTTAGGACAAAGTGTGTAGGTAATCTTTATGTAGTACAGATTTGCCAATCTTTTCTTGCACATTTTAAAGAAACATGAAGAGGCTTATCTGATTAAAATCTTCAGGGATTAGAGAACAAGAAGAGATAAAATTACATTTCTGATGGATTAGGATTTAAGACCAAAAGTCCATAAACTAAACATACCATGTAACTCAAATCAGAAAACCATTGTTGATGGGAAAAGATCAATACCAATGTAAAAATAGAACAGTTTGCTTTACAAACAGCTTGGAGCATGAAAAATGCTGAAGTTACTCGTTGCCTCTGCTTTCAAATACACAATTTTCTCCGAGTAAGATTAGGCTTTTTAATTCCAAGTAAGTGGGAAGTGACGAGACTCTTGTCTGAGCCAGTCGTATAGTCTTTGCTAGAGAGATCATAGATACTTTAGCTGGCTTCCTCTTTGCCTCCATCCATGGTGTATACTGGTTTTTCCCAGTTCTTGTTCGGATCATCTGTTAAAGTGAGATCCGTTTCGTACTCTCTAAATGTTTTGAAGAATGTCTTTGCACCCATCATTATCAGCCTCTCCACCATGAATAGCTGGTAGTTGTTTTCGATTATAGGATCCAGAATCTCGCTGAAATTCGATGAATAAGCCACTTTATACCTGATGTGTAACAATAATCTTAAGCATCTTATAAGAACAACCTGCATAAATATATACCTAAAAGCTTGAACCTTGACCTCTGTGAATTTACCTGACAGCGAGAGGCGAAAAGAATCCAGGGGTTCTCTCATTAGAACCGATAAAAAGAGTCCGTCCTGGTGGGATCTGCTTCTTTATTCTGCCGAGGATAAACTCCGGGCGTGTATCTCTGTCCAAATGTGGAAACTGAGTTCTTTCAACCCGGAACCTGTCTTTTCGAGTTTTCAATTTGTCACCTCGACGGACATGGATTGCATCGTAATCACCAAGTTGTGCTTTTATCTGTTCAACCAAAACTGGTTTATGATAAGCTAATAGCCTCAACAGAGCATAACCATTTCATTTTCCTTTTAAAGCTAGTTTGCAAGATATGCAGAATCTATTCACCTTTTCTGCAGCATTTCTCAATCTTGATGCCGCCATATTCGGGAGAAACGAGTAAGGAAGCATGACGTCGCTACGATTACTTCTATCCTTGCACTCAACAAACCTACCATGAAGATAGATATGTGATATGATGGCTAACACAAACAAGGTAAGAAAATGATGCTTGTAAACAAACAACTTCCAAGTCCTCAATTTGGATACTCAATTTCCTCATCAATGTTTACCATGCGAGCGGACTTGCGGTTCGGTTAATGACCAAAAGATTTGAAAAGTGGCTAGAGTCATTAAGCTCATGCCTATTGGCTCCATTCACATGCGCAATCCCTCGTTCTCCCAATTTCATACTCGTCGATAACACAATGTGCCACGTCTCCGAGTCATCCAAGATCACAGGTATCTTCTCAGAGATGAGGTCAATATCATACAATAACTCCATTGCACAAGAGCTCACTTCCCAACTAAAGAACATGCAAAGAAGAGAAAAACCTCTTATTATGTTAAAAAGTGAGAAGCAAAACAAAAGTAAGTTTCAAGAAACTCTTACCTTTCCTCTGTAGTTTCATTGTCTGATCGATTAAGTATACCTTTCTTGTTATGTATTGGATTGATACACATCCGAGAAGGCATTACAAAAGTCCTGAAAACACAGAAATTGCTAATTCACCACAACAACAAAAATCTCAGAAATTTTTGACAATTTGGGGGAAAAAATTGGCAAATCACCTGTTAAGAAACATGGCTTCTTCAAGGGCACATCTAAAGCTGGATTCTTGGTGACCCAAACCAGCACAAGTCTCACAGTTCTTACCAGGACAATCGATTCTGTCTCCCCAATACAAATACTTGTCCGAAAAACTGTGTTGTCTCTTGCTTCGAGAAGACCTAACGAAATAATCAATCAAGGTTCTCCGGTACGGTAAACCCAATCCGCCGGTAATAATCACCGAAGAGAAAAGGAGGAACATTGCGACGGCGACTATAGATAACAACAGAAAAAGTCTATGAGATCTCGGAGTGGCTTTTGACTTCTGGGTTTTGCTCATTGTCGCCATTAAAGCTGTTACAGAGTCAAAAGGAGGAAGAAGGAAGAAGAAAGGAAGAGTCTTTGACGGACGATTAGGTAGAGATTAGATCAGAGATCTGAAGAACGGTCACGTGGGTGTCTCCGGCACACGTGTTTATGATCCAGAGATGTCAGAGAGACAACAAATGTTTTTGCGGCGGTCATTACAAGAGTGTTCGACACGTAAAGTAAGTCATAGATATGAATAGGTTCTGTACATTCCTCACACAC